TTAAAAGTAGATAAGTATCACATTTCAAAATTCACTTTCAATGGTAATATTTCAATGAATGAACTGCTGTGTCTCTATCCTGCTTTTTAAAAAGTAATTATTGACCTCTTGCGGCATTCATTGCTTGTTTATTTGCCCACAACTTTATAACATTTTAAAGAAAGGATAGCAGAATAATGGACAGAAATAACCGTGGTTAATCAAAACTTACTATACTTAACTTCCAGAAATAACACACAATAAAAAGTGACATTTGGGGAGGTTGTCTGCCTTTTCTGATAGATTTTTTGGATCTCCTTGTGTGTTTTGGATACAATTTCTGTATTGGACTTAAAGGTAGAACGTAGCCAGTTCTGGAGTTTGCTTGTTTTTTTCTCTTCTGGGAATAGAAGGTCTTTGGTAGACCTTCTTTATGGCTAGTCTTTTTCTATCTGGTTTGAAAAATTGTGTCTATTTTTTTATCAACAGTAAAAACACAAAATGTTATACTAATTACTTGAAGCACTCCTTACCTTTTAAATTTAGGAGTATTAAATTTGTTTTTACCCAAAAACTTAGATTACAAACTACTGATTTTATATAGAGTACTAAGTATGAAGCCAAGACTATTACTATTTTATTAATACCCAATTAACCCAACTCAGTGGATTGCTGTACTCATTTTATAGATTTTCTACTATAAAATACAGCAGCACCGATGCTGCATACATCAAACTTAGTAGTCGGTTTCTATGCCCTCTTCATTTCCACTGATTTATTTATCTCAACATTAGCTAGTTTTAGAAGAAATATTTCATTTCAGTAATTTATGTCTTCCAGATTCATTTTTATTTTTAACCATTGTATTGTGATTTTTTAGTCCTTTTAACTTGCACTTTTTTTGAGTTAGCTTGCCAGTTTCCAAAGGAATAATTTGAGACTTTGCTGTGAACGGTATTGAATCTGTAGATCAATTTTAGAATTACCTTATCTCTGTTATCTGAAAGATGCTTTACTTCATTACCACCATATTTTGTTTGTTGTGAAAGGCTAATGCAATTTTCATTAGATTTATTCCTAAGAATCTGATACTTTTGATATTACGATAAATAGAATTGCCTTAATTTTACTTTGTAAATTATTTTTATGTAGCAGCAAAACTGATTTTTTATAAGTTAAGGTGTTCAGCAATTTGTTAATGCAAACAGTTTGTAGATTATTTTGTATTTTCTAGGTATGCAATAAATCATCTGTAAATAATGACCTATCCATTCTTTTATTTCCAGTACTTGTGAAGGTTATTTGTTTCCTGAATTTTTGCTCTGGAAAGAATCTCAAATAAAATGTTAATTAGAATTGGTGATAAAAGTGAGCATGGAGTGCTCCACCCTGCAACCCCAGCCTTCAGGAGGCTGAGGCAGAAGGACCACTGAGCTTAAGTCCAGCCTAGGCTACACATTGAGACCCTGACTCAGGAAACAACAACAAAAATCCTCAATTTTTCAAGATATATGAAATTCTAACTAAAAATATGGGATTTTTTCCGGGTTCATTCTTCTGCGTTGGGCCTCAAATAACCAAGTGCAGTTGGAGCTGCCTCGTACCCCTCTTCCTCGGCCTCTAACCTGGCTTGGAAATTGACGCACATCTGAGAAGGAAGAGGAATGCGGGATGCAGAGCTTTCTGCAGGGCAAGTCCCTTCAGCTCCATGCTGGTCCCTAACCTCTATTTGCATGCATCTCATTTTTTGTCCCAGGTAAATATACACAGCAGGAAGGCTAACCTAATGCCAGTCAGTCCTTTACCGCTTGCGGTGGAAGTCTGCATTTTGTTTTCTTCACTATGTATCAGAATAGCCTTTAACCTTTGCTATTTGTATAATGAATTTAAAATATTGTCAAAATTGCGTCTATAAAAAAAAATTGCGTCTATGCTCCCTAAAGGCTTTTAAAAAATCCTTTCCTTTTTAAATTTAATATTTTTTTAGTACCAGGGATTGGACTCAAGATCTTTTGTTTGCCAGGCAAGCACTTAATCCACTGAGC